AATTTCAGAAGGTTAGGTTTAGCCTTATTTCGTAGCTCTCGTTTGAGTCTAACTGTTGTAGGGTAGAACCTCTCGTTCGAAGAATTATCTTGTCTTAGTGATATGTAATGGTATTTACGAGCTAGTTAGGGGAGATAGTTGAAGGGTTTTGAGCATTATAACAATCCTATGGTGTGCATGCAACCCTAGATGATTTGGATCTATGTTTTCTCTAATATGCATGCAGACTTTTATTTTTCCAAAGCATCATCCTAACTAGCATACAATGGAGTATCTTTACTACAAAATTCTAGTTGGATGACATACCTTTTGTTGTAGTTGGAAACCTTGGACCATTAAGAACTTAGTGTCCCAAGTGTTGCACCTCAAATGGAATCACACAACACCACCAACAATGGAGGAACTTGAGAGGAGGTTACTTGCACTCATAAAATCGGCTTGCCCTCTTGTAAGCTTACTTAGGTTCGATTTCATGAGCTAGAGGAGTTCTTATATAGTGTGGCTTGATTAGGGTTACACCATGCAAACCCTAATGTGCATGACCTTCCGTATTCCTCATGCTCCATGGGTTTAAACCTCTATGGATCATCCATGGGTCACCACATGGGTATATCCCAACACAAAGAACTATGGATCATAAGCCCACATTATAAGAATAAATGATTTACACAATCAATCCCCATATATTTAATTAGTCTCTTTTGATCACAAAATTAATTCCCAATTAATTATTGATCAATACCAATTAAATAATATGATTTCATATTAATATATTAGAACTTATAATATATTAATAAACCATAAATAACCACTTCTCAATTATCCATCCTTCATATTGTTCCGGTGCTATGCAACCCAAATGGACCATGCTATTCCCGGGTCAAGTACATACCAATTATAGTTATGGACTTAGACATTAATCCAACAGTCTCCCACTTGGATAAGTCTAATAACCATTATTGCAAGTACGACTCCACAACCCGACTAGCAATCGTAGCTCTTAAAAGTCGTTGTCGAACTCTGACCTAGTCATTGACGCGTCCATTAGAGAAGGGATCATATATTCCTCCATTCTAGATATCATATGGACTGAGACATGGATTATAATCATTCTATCTGTCCATCTGTTGTTTCCCGATTTCATATTTATGACGACTGACTAATTGAACAAATCAAATCAGTCCAGGCCTGGTGTCATCACTAAATCATCGAGGGGCCCACAGATATCGCTTTTATCCACATGGGGTAAAAGGAACGGATAAACTTCGACCCAAATGCTCGCCTGTACTTACTCATCAAATTACACACAACAATATGTTTTATAACATCCAAGTTACTGGTGCGTGTACATATGTCAATGTGCAACCGACTCGCAACTACAACTCACATGTTTCCGTTTCAAGAATATAAGATATTATCGTCTCACAATCACTCGCGATAAAATCCATGAAGTGATTCAGATGAGTGTGGGTTGAATCCAATACTCGAATCTAATTCCAGTAGTACTCATGAACACTGCAGCTATGTCTAAAACACCTAGACAAACTACAGACCCATTCACGACAGTCTTGCCTCAATACCTACTTCCAAAGTATGATCGACTGTGGATGGTTTGAATAACCTAGTTATTCGGGAAGTCAAAACATGCAAAGTGAAACACAATAATAATACTAATCCTATATGGCCCAAAAACTTTTTGAGTCATATTGATTACTCATTATTCATTGTATAATGTTTCGAATAATCAACTTAATACTTGAATTAAAACAATAGCTATGCCAACCATATAGACAAGTAGCTTATTCTCTTAGAACCTCCTCTTGCATATTGGTGTTTGTGAACCATTAGATGCATCACACTTGAGGTGCTCAAGCTTTCAAAGGCCAAGAACTCTACCCTACTCAAGAGGTATGTATCCTAACTATGTTTGATTATATATAGCTTCAGTTGTATGCTAGCTAGGGTGAATGCTTTGGAAAAAAGAAAATGCATGTATAATTAGTGAAAACATAGATCCAAAGCATTTAGGGTTGCATGTGCACTTAGGAAGTGTTATGGTGCTCAAAACCCAACACCATTATCCAACATGCAATTCTATTAGCTCATATAATATCAACTCTACACTACTCATAATATAAATTGATGTATTTTGGGAAGCTACCGCTCGAGCTATGGTTGATCGTACACACTGCTTCACTGGGTTTTTCTTCTGTAAAAATCTTCATTTCTTTGATTTTTTTTTTTGAAAATCTTCAGATCCTTAGTTTGAGTTTGGAATTACCCTAGAGTTCATCCAAATCCCTCAAACCAGGGCTCTGATACCAAATTTTAAAACAAAAAGTTCATTTTTAAATTACCAAAATATTATTCATGAACCAAGTCATCCAAAAACATAAATGTCAAATACAAATTATCATCATAAAATATCAGAATATCACAGACTGCCCTAGTAACAAATCTCCCAGCGAGTGTGTACAATCAGACATTCGCCTTCCCATAATCCTCAGAAATACCTGAAACACATAAATCAACAATTGTAAGCACAAAGCTTAGTGAGTTCCCCAAGATACCACATGCAACACAACATAAATAAACAACTATGGGTTATCAGCAATCCTAGGGACTATCAGCAGTCCAAGTGGGCAACAACACGCCCTATGGGTTATCAGCAACCATGGAGACTATCCACACTCTCAGTCACACATAAACGACATCATACAAAATAACATTTAGACCCAACTGGTTATCACAAATACAACTATTCTACCACACAGGTAAGAATAAGTGAGGAGACTCACCTGATATCGATGACATCTAAATATCACACCCGAACTGCCGGAACTAAACTCCGCTTAATAACACAATAATTAACCCTAATTAATGATTAAGGTCCTCAACTCAACTCGCAAGTCCAAATTCCACACTAAGACCCTTAAGGGAAAAAAGATCATTTTGCCCCTCCCATGGTCCAAAACCCTAATTCTTGACCAAAGGTCAAAAGTCAGCAAAAGTCAACTGCCTAGCGCGTACGTTGGGCGTACTCATTCTTACGTGAGGCGTACAAATCAATCAATGACCATTCTTAAACGGGCTTGGCTACGCGGGGCGTAGCCAGGAGTACACCCGACGTACTCTGCCTGATCCCCATTTATCAACTTTTATGTCTTAATCCGTTAAGACACCTATCCCAACTTCAGATCTGACCATAATAGCATGTCTTAACCCATAAAGTCACCGACTTTAAGCCTTTGCATGGCTAAAAAGGACCGGATACACAAAACTCTAACTTTCATCACGCTCTAAGTCATTTAACTCATGCATGGGTCAATTGAAATGATCAAGCAACCATTTTTATGAATCCACAAGACCTATAACACATGAACGAACAACTACAATGCTTTGGAGTGCTCCAAAATCACAAAGGTTCAAGCTTTGGGATAAAAAGCTCATAAAAACTCATTTATGGAGATCTAAAAAGGAAACACATCAAGGTATAAACTTTATACCTTCTGAAGATGCACAAGGTGAAGTAGTTTCCGGATCTACAAGCTTGTAAGCAACACCTCCTTCTTTACTAGCCTTATTCTTCAACAAATGAGCACCAAAATCACTAATAAGCTCCAAAAGGGTTTATGAGGGAAGGGGTAGTTGATAAGAAATGTCCAAGGTAGGCATAAGGTTGATTAAATAAGGAGCAAACCCTTAAAATTAGGGTTTAGAGGCCGAGCTAGTATGCCCAATGTACTAGCATGGCTTCCACGATCCGAGTTCTCACAAGTACGTTGTGCGTACCTCACGTACGGGATGAATTGTGATTCTTTAAACAACAAGGGACCAAATATGCAAACTTTAAATAGGCTAAGGGCTAAAATGAAAATACCTAAAAATCGGATGTTACAAAAAAATCATAAAGTGACCTAATATTATATCTAAGTTATTTAATGAGCAAAGTGAATACCTTTTACCTCCAAATGATCATATGTAAAGTGAAGATACACGATCCACGATGGAACCAAGCACACAAACACCAAGATGGTCTCCTTCTTCTTTCAACCTTCAGAAAGTTGGCTTCACACACACTCAAGCACACATATGGACGCTAGGGTTTGGGTGGGATAAGATCTCAGAGGGTGGAGACTGCCAAATGAGGCAACCCTAGGAGTTAGTGCACTTAAATAGGGATACAAACAATGTTTATGTCTCAGATGATGGTGGATCATAGTTAATGTTGATTCTATTACCAACACTTGTGGAACGTGACTCGGATCAGAATATTCACCGATTTTAAAATTGCTCTAATCATATCTTGATTCACGTTGATGAAAGATTGGAATGACGATTTCGAACACCGGTTTTGGGTTGGGAACACCAACCGGTTAACTGATAACAAAATATATGTTTTCATATTGGACTAAACTTTCTTTGCAAGATCTTTCTTTTACTTACGGTGTAGCATGGTTTCATATTGGACTGAACAAGGTTTTATTGATTGAGATTGACCCCATGGTCTCGTGTATCGAACCCTAGGCTTACTTGGTTAGCTGAACTCCAAAATCAAATTGGTTTTCATTAGTAACATATGCGTTGCGGGAAGATTAGAACACCGATTCAGTCGGTGATGGTAGTGATTAGTGGTTTCGATCGAGAAGGGAGAGTTGCAACAAATAAGAAAGTGGGAAAGAAGGGATGATGATGGGTAACGACACTCTTACTTGCTGATTAGGAGGCGGTCACTGGTTGACCCCTTCATTTTCTAAATAAGGATTTTTTAAAACTAAAGAAGTTGAGTTTATACCCTTAGGATGAAAAAAAATAACATGTAAGACATTTTAAAACATAAAATGGTATTGGGTCACAATGATATCAACCCTAATATATTTATATAATGTTTACTTATAAAATAAGAAAAATAATAATTAAAAGAATATTTTGCATAAGAAAGAGGGCAACAGTAAAATTACATAAATGTCCAATACACGCAGGGTTGTTAATGCCTATCAGTATCAGGACCTTTTTGTACTTTTGCAACCTGCCCCTGTCTTTGCCCCGTTCGCACAACCCTCGTATCTCTCTTGGCTCATTGTGAGAAATTTTTTGGAGCTCATCTCTCTCAAATTTATCGATTTCACTGTTTTTCATCTAAAAATCCAAAAATTAGGGTTCTTGTTCTCTTTTGCTTCAATTATTCCAAGTGGCCAATCGTTAATCTCTAGTTTCTGTCATCTCTTTTACCCATCTAGGGTTTTGCAGATCTAAATCCAGTTACAATTCAACATGTTTTGGCATCTTACAGCTCTCTCTGCTTCGTCACCGGTAAGTTAGAAGAACAACACGATTTGTTTTTATTTGCACACAAGTTGTTGAAATTTAATCTGAAAATTGTCAATTACCAAGTGTTTGTTGTGATTTGTGTTAGTCGTGTTCTATTCTTCCTCTCGAATAGATCTTGTTATTATGTTTATTGACTAATAAATATGCCTTGGTGAGTTATTGGACTCGTTAGAGCTTAAAGCTAAGGTGATTGACTGTATGAAAGAAGTATCACTTCATTTCATATAGTTAAGCATCGAAGTAATAATGATTAAGTTTCATTTAATAACTTACGTTATTTATGATCACTGAGTTTTTGTCATATGTTCAGATTGAGTCTATCTTGGACAAAGAAAGTTTCACATTGGAAGAGCTCTTGGACGAGGAAGATGTCATCCAAGAATGCAAAGCTTTGAATAGTCGCCTCATCAACTTGTAATTCCACTTTTATCTTAGTAATTTAGACTCATCTTCTTGCCTCCACCATCTAAATGAGCTAATACTTCCCACAGTTGTGATATTTCCATTTATTAAACTGCAAATAAGATGACAAGAATCTATGTCATGAATACTTAAAGAAAATCTTTGTTTTCAGCTTGCGTGACAGAGTCCAAGTTGAACAATTACTGCGATATATCACAGAGGAGCCTCAAGCTGATGCTGATAGCAAACGAATTTTCAAGTAAGCCATTTTCTTGTTGTATACAATATATATTTGGATCAAAGATGGTTATGTCTAATAACTTATTGTACATGTTTAGGTTCCCTTTCATTGCTTGTGAGATCTTTACATGTGAAATTGATGTGATCTTCAAAACTTTAGTGGAAGAAGAAGAGGTTTCTGAGTTTTATTTAGTATTATGTTGTTACATAAATACATGCTTCATTACATTCTCTCACATGATTTCCTTCTTCAAACCCAAAACTTGCAGCTAATGGATCTACTTTTCTCATTCCTGGAGCCAACCCGTTCCCATAGTGCCTTGTTGGCTGGGTACTTCAGCAAGGTATGTTCTTTAAAACAAGGTGTTTCTTGCATTGAATATAAGTATTATCATCTACTGTAAAGATCAATTGGAGAAAGGGCATTTTGGGCAACTATTGGTTGACATATTTTCTTCTGTGTCATAGGTTGTGATATGCCTCATGTTGCGGAAGACAGTTCCACTTATGAATTATGTTCAAGTGAGTAAACTTATCTACTTGATATTACAGCTTCTAATTTCATTCTTGAATATATCTTTTTTGATCATCACACTTCACATTTAACTAATTATTCAATATGTCAACAGGTGCATCAAAATGTTTTCCAACAGCTGGTTGATTTGATTGGAATTACATCAATCATGGAGGTTAGTAAATTTTCCATCCAGCATTAACTGTTTTACACTTTTACTTTGAGCTTTATGATTTCTATAACTTAAAAATAAATGGTTACTTTGTTTTTTTTCTAAACACAGGTCTTGGTAAGACTTGTTGGAGCTGATGATCATATGTATCCCGATTCTGTGGATGTGATGCAATGGTTAACAGATAGCAATCTGTTGGAGATGATTGTGGATAAATTAAGTCCATCAGTGAGTACAATTTCATATTCAATATATGTCCATATATATTATTATATTATATGTTTACATGATTTAATATTGATTGATTGATTGTATCTAAATAATGATGACTACAGAGTTCTCCTGAAGTACATTCAAATGCAGCAGAAACTCTATGTGCTATAACTAGAAACACATCATCTCCTCTTGCCTCTAAACTTTCTACCTCAAGGTTAATATCTTCATTCCTTTCATATATTATATTATAATTTCTGTTTAATGACTATATATATATTTTTTTCTATGTTTTTATCTCTCCCAGTTTTGTTTCAAGGATTTTTGGTCATGCATTGGAATTGGATGATTCACATTCAAAATCTGGACTTGTGAACTCATTGTCTGTGTGCATATCTTTATTGGATCCAAAAAGATCATTTCCTTCACCTCCATTTTATTCTTTTCGTGGTCATCATGTATATGAGTCACCTGTTCAAGTCAATCAAGAAACTGTTGGAGCAATGTTGCCTCAACTCAGTGAGTTTTATACATATTATTTTCATTTTTTCATGCTTTACAAAAACATTGTACTGATTATTCAAATGTCTCAGGTGACTTGTTGAAGTTGTTAAACGTGTCACTAGATGAAAAAGTCTTGCCAACTACATATGGCCAGTTGAAGCCTCCTCTAGGAAAGCATCGGTTAAAGGTTAATTTTTGTTAAAAATATTTTTTGTCTTTTTTTTAATAGCCATAAGAACAAATTTATATTAATAAGCGATAAATATCTACTTGCAGATTGTGGAGTTCATTGCAGTTTTATTGAAAACTGGAAATGAAGTTGCAGAAAAGGAATTAATCAACTCTGGAACCATACAAAGAATTCTTGATCTTTTCTTTGAGTAAGCCATTAACCATGATCTAAATCTAATTAATTAAACTCTATATATTTTAATTGTTGAATTTACCTAGGTACCCTTTTAATAATGCTTTGCATCATCACATCGAGAGTATAATATATTCCTGTTTAGAAAGCACAAACAATACTGTAATTGATCATCTGTTTCAAGGATGCGGTTTGTTTGCTAAGATTCTTCAAACAGAAAATAATCCTTTCCTTTCTGGAGAACTTAATCAGGTAATTAGTTATTCTTTACTTTAAATCCAAATAATATTTTTTAAACCTAATCTGTAACAATTTCTATTATTATTATTTATATGCAGCCTACATCACTGGCTTCCGGAAGAAATCCACTCCGAGTTGGAAACATCGGACACATCACTCGCATTGCCAATAAAATCATGCAGTTGGGAAACACCGATACTCGCATTCAGATGCATATTCAGGTGTTTTTTTTATCTATTATAAATTTATAACTAAATAATTATAATGAGTATAAATATTATATATTTAAATACTTGTGGTGATTTAGGAAAGTAGCGAATGGAATGAGTGGCAAGCTACAGCTCTACAGGATCGGAATATGGTTGAAAATGTTTACAGATGGGCTTGTGGGTGTGTGTTTCTAACTTTCTATAATTCTATCACATCATATTTTATTTTTTTATAAAAATATTATATCATATGATTTATTTATTTGATGTATATATATAGGAGGCCAACTTCAATTCATGATAGAAATAGGGATAGTGATGAAGATGACATTCATCATGATCGAGACTATGATGTTGCTGCTTTAGCAAATAATTTAAGCCAAGCATTTAGATATAATGTCTATGACAATGAGGAAGGTGAAGAGGTATATATCTTCAAAATTCAAAATTCAAAAATTTAAATTCCTATTTTTATGCTTTTTACTATTTATTTTGATATCAGGGTCATGGGACTCTCGGGCGTGATGATGAGGTACTAAATCTTTCATTTATTTGTTTATTATTATTATAATTTATATAATATATTTATAACAATTTTACCTTTTTATAATGTATAGGAGGGTTATTTTGACAATGAATCTGCTGAAGTTGTGATATCATCCTTAAGACTAGGTGATGACCAAGGGAGGTAAAAGAATCTAGAATCATCTATAAAAAGTAACCCACTTTCATTTTCATTAATTTTGAATATAATAATAATATTTTTTTTTGTCTCTTTTCAGCAATCTGTTTACAAATTCAAATTGGTTTGCTTTCCAAGACGATAAAATGGGGGGAGACACAACCGCCACGTCACCGGAAACAATGGACGAAATCAACTTGAACGGGGCGGCAACCACCAATGAGGATCACGACGATGTGGTGGTTGGCACGGATGTCGATGAAGATTTTCTCAACACCAAAAATTCCAATAATGCCCCTACCCGAAGCCCAAACCCATTCAGTGAAGACTATGTAGAAAACGAAGAAGATCTGTTTGCAGACAGACCGATGCCCGAATGGGTAGGATGGGAAGACCCGTCAAATGTTGAAATCCCGGTTCCGGTTCCTGGGTCCGGGGTCAACCCGTTTGAAGAAGATTACAATAATACCCCTGATGTTGACATTCCAACACCAGTAGAAACGCCAACGCCAACGCCAACGCCAACGCCAGTGCCTTCGTTGTTTGAAGAAGATGTGGAGTTTGTAGGGGTAGAATTGGAATTGGATGGGTCGGAAAAGGCGATGGATAAGGCTCTCAAGGAAGGGATTGTGGGGGAGGCGGGGGCGTTGAAAAGGAAAGTTGTACCTGGTGGGCCCGAGAAAGAGAATGTTAGTGACCCGAAGGAGTTTAATGATAGTAATTATTGGAGGGTGGATCAAGAAATTGCTGTTTCTGAGTGACACTGACAGTGACAGTGATATGATATTATATGTCAGGTTTTGTATTAAAGGGGATGGATGGATGGATGTACAAAGTATAATTTTGTTGAAAATGGACATAGTTGTTGTTGGGTTAGGTTAATTTGGGATGTTGACAACTTGATTATTGTTACTTTGGATGTTATTTTCTATTTGTTGTTTCTAGATATGTCTTTTAACAGATTATGGGGAGGTTTTATACTTTTATATTCCTCCCTTTTGTATTATTATTTTTGTATTTTTGGTCATCTACAAGACGTCATTATTTACATTTGGTAGTTGTGTTGGAACAAGTTTATTTTTATTTAAATTATAATTGTATTTAATCCAAGTTATAATTAGCCACACATTTGAGCGGGCTGAATTGTTACACGTGGACAAACACACGCTCAAAACCACCCCTCACGCTCGGAACCTTCTCGAATCGTGCTCCCCAAGTAATCACCAGCGCCTATAAAAGCAAACAAGTTTGGTTTTTTTTCTCATTCTAAAAAATAATCACTTACGTGTTGGGGACTTGGGGTTGGAGATTTTGTTTTCTCTGAATCGAACAAAATGATCGAGGTGGTGTTGAATGACAGATTGGGGAAGAAGGTTCGAGTGAAGTGCAACGAAGATGACACAATCGGCGACCTGAAGAAGCTTGTGGCAGCTCAGACGGGAACTCGCGCCGATAAGATCAGGATTCAGAAGTGGTACACTATCTATAAGGATCATATCACTCTCCAGGATTACGAGATTCACGATGGGATGGGGCTTGAGCTCTACTACAATTAAATTTCATTAAATCATGTAAGACGTCGTATACCTAACTAGTTTCATTGTTATCAACATTGCTTATAGCCTGATTTTTGTTTATCGTTATCAATTTTAGGGTTTGGATAGATGATATCGTCAATCGGTGTATTGTAAGGTTGATCTGGATCATGTATTACTGATAACATGAGTTTTCATTGATATGATCATGATACGACGGTTTAGTCATGTGATTGTGCCTGTTGTCTTCTTCAAATAATTGATATATCGTCTGTTTTTCGTCAATTTTATGCTTTATGTTGATTGAATAAGTTTTTGATTGTTAACAATTGGCAACAAAGCATGGGTTTCTGTATATTAATTTTGAAGAATCATTGGCCTACTTTGGATCCAAAATTAAGAAAACTGGTTGAAAATGAAACCAGGGTTGAGATTGGTATTCTCGTAAGATTAGATCCAAAAGCAATCAAAATGAGATATAAAGGAGATTTGATGAACAGAAACAAAGAAACAAAAAGTTGTCACAAGAGTGCTATAAGAAGTTATTGAGCGTTCATCTATCCAATAATAAGAAAAGCAAAGTGGAGGGAGTTGCAAATAGCTGACAATTTTCCAAAATATGTATGTACATTGTTTCTAACTTTCTCGTGGTGTTTTGATTGCATATTTCTCTTTCCCTCAGCTCATTTACATTAACCACATTTTCAGTCTTTGTATTTTGTAATAGTTGTTTGGGATTGAGAGTTGAACTACTTTGTAAACCAATTTTGTTGGGTGTTTAAGTTTCTTGTTTTGTTATTATTTCGTAAAAATACAATTAAGTGTTTGTGATTTTAGTGTCACTTGCCATTAGTGTAATAGGAATTAACACGAGTATCAAATGGAGATTTAATTGTGACTTAATACAAACTGGATGGTGTGGGGTACACAATGCATACTTGTATATAAAACGAGTTTGATCCCCAAAAATAACTACATAATTTGTGACATGGAATGCATATGAAAAACATGTTTTAGAATGAAACAAAGTAAAATAAATAAAAGTTTGGGTATGCTCGGTGACATCTCAAGCTGCCTAACAGCCCGAGTTGTCTTTTTGGGTGGTTTTGGTAGGTAGCTCGAGCTGTCTGGTAGTTTTCTAGTAACCGTCTCTTTTAATTGTCTATTATGTAATTTCCGTTGATGTTATCTGCTTTTTCAGATAGATAAGTGTTTATGCTTATATTTCGTTTATTTGGAAATCAGAGTATTTGAAAATTTGATCACAAATTTTTTGATGGTGAACATTTGTACCTTTGGAAGTATAATAGCTTTCACCCCTTTATAAAAGATTTGGAATATTTTTGCTAACAACGAGATGATTATGGACGTTTTTTGCAACGCGCTTTTGAGAGCTTTGGAGTTTTTAATAAAATTAGTCGATAACTAGATGACATAAGCGTGAAATGACTATATAATAGTATATTTGAAATTTATGGAAAAATCCTCGTGGATTTATCATAAGTTATCTCAAATAGTTTAAAAAAAAGGATTTAATAAGCTACTTTAATCGCCTCATCAAACACTATATTGCAATAAAGTAAAAAAAAATTAAGTCATTTTACTCCAAACACAACCTAAAGTTTTTTATTTTAGAACAAAGTTTTTTTATCCAAAATAAACTTTAAGTAGCGTACATCCCTATTGTAGCAAAATTACTAATTGTGTTTGGCAAAACAAACTGATAGTTAGTAGCTAGAATCAATAACTTTAATATGTTATATAAGAGTTTGACAAAAATAGCAGAAAACTTTTGATGTGTGTAAAATTACCTAAAAAGGCACCTATTTAAAATAAAGATCACGATGACAAGTAAAGTTAATGGCAATTTTGCAAATTGATTAAAAAAACTTAATATTTTTTTTTGAGTTTTTTCTTAAATGCTACATGAAGTAGTTTTTAGGCTTTTGGAAGTGATCACCACTAACCACAAATGTGGCAATATGATGGGATGTGAACACCAGAAAAAGAAGCCATGAAAAAACCATCTGCCAAAAAATTTGCCGAATTATGGGACAGTCTAATCTCATACACCGAAGTCCATTCTCTGATGGGCTTTTACCCAGTAGCCAGACGACCAGGTCCTAAAGCAGTTTTCTTAGCCGACTTATCAGATCCTATGACTTTATGGGATTATTTTATTCATGGATTCATCGACACCATCTATCTAGAAGACACCAATCTACACTGCATCAGCGAATTCCCTTCTGCTGTGCAAACTATCATCAGAAATTATAAAATACGCTTTGCAAAACAAGAAAGAGGATTATTCATCAAAATGCATTCTAGCTACCCAATTTTTGATGAAGAATCTCAACTAATTGTCCCAAGTATTACTTTTGCAAACATGAGAATAAGCAACGGCTCAAAACCAACAAAAGATGATCTACCCCATGAATCCCCAACACAAGAACATCTAATCTTTGCACTTGCCGGTGTTTATTTAGCATCATCACGCATTGGCAACGGTAAAGATCAAAGGTCAAGAATCAGAGTAAATTATGCTAGTAAAACTTTCATTATCTACTCTTTAACAGACAATGAAATCACTTCGGAAGCAATGAATGCAATTGAAACATTCGAACAACCTTTCGAAAAATTTTCTCATCAACTGGCTGAATTACCCGATGATATCAAGAAACAACTTTGCAAACATATTATGCATGCTCCAAGACACAATTGCAGTCACTGTTCAGAAAACACAGAAGAAACACCATTCATGGAAGATTAACATCAGCCATGACACAAGCAAACATTATTCAAAAACATGTCTTTTCGGAGGCGGGAGGAATGACGTAAGCAATGACATAAGAAGCCATTATTAAAGAAGACATTATTGAAAACACGTGTCCTTTCAATAATGAAGGGATTGTTATTAAATTAAAGTGTCGGTAGGATAATTATTATATGTCTATTGTATTATTGTGATGTAACATAAAGTGTTAGTCCCTCAATAGTCTAGGGGGCTATATTGTAAATATGTTTGTCATATTGCAATCATACGATTGCAATTCAATTATGTAACCGGCTCCTTTGAGCCTATAAATAGGGCATTTGCCCATATGAAATGAACAAGCTAAAATTGAGTGTTTAAGATTTGAGTTGATCTCAATCTTCTTCTGTTGAAATAGCTCGTCTATTTCTGAATAGCAGAACCCTATCCAAACATATCCATATATTCATATAAACATATCAAACCCAGACAATCAATCCATCGTCAATCCATTCCGACGCATCATTCAGGTATATTCTATCCTAATTATATTAATTCCGCCATGTTTTTTAATTCCGACGCATCATTCAGGTATATTCTATCCTAATTATATTAATTATATTAATTCCGCCATGTTTTTCAATTTGGCTTAGCTTTTCACAGCCAAAAGTTCTTTTTGGAAAAGAAAAAAAGCAAAAGATGTTTGACAAAACTAGTTTTAAAAGCTACTTTTGGAGTTTTGATACAAGGAAAAAGAACTTTTTGGAAAAGTCAGGAAAACCTGATTTTTTGTAACTTTTCCAAAAATGACTTTTGGGCTGTGAAAAGCTAAGCCAAACACCCCACTAATACGGTTTTGTGTGATGAAGAGGTGACAGTGACATGACACATATTTATGGTTAGTGATAACCACTCCGAAAGACCTTAGATTTGAATTTTTTTTGTTTAAACTAAAAGCTAAAAATTTGTGCTCTCAAACAAAACTTTTTGTTTATATCGAGTTTTTTTTTGCTAAAGTTAAAAGCTAGAAGCTCAAAAAAACACTCGCTGACAAACATAGTTGTTCTTAAACTAATATGTAGCCCAGCCAAACACATTTACACAAATAAAAACAACTCCGGCTTCCGCCTATTTTTTGCTAAACATACCTTAATGTTTGAAAAATCCATATGAGAAAGTTCACCAAATGAAAAAAATCTAATGTTAGAGATTTTAATGTCATGCATTTTAGATGATTGAAACTTACAACACGTTAGATAGACTGAAATTTACAGGAGCATTAAATATGACCAATACAAAGCTCAAATACAAATACATGTCTCTAGTGTACACACATGCAGGTTAGTTTGAAACATTATGCAAGTCATTCTAAGGATATAAACAACTATTGTCAAAGATTTTACAAGTTTACACCTTTTTGAGTACTTTTGTTACCAAGTTGAAGCTTTGTAATTTTATCTTTTGGATCACATAAAACATATGATCAAACACTTTGCTTCAAAAATCCTACCCCAAATGTTAGATTTCTCCTAGCACAACTTCATTCATCATCATTGAAAGAATCAATATATCCAATTTGCCAAAATTGTGAACCAAAAATCAAACAAACGATCACCTATTTAATAAAATCATAACAATCATCTAATTTTCTAAGTCTTACACAAGCTCAAAAATCAACAACTAACAAAAATCAACTAGTGTCTATTAAATTGGAGCTCCACACTTTCTTTTTAAAATAATCATCATTCACTCCTCCACCCTTCATTCTCATCTCCACCACCTTCCTGTGAGAGTTTGAATGCAAAGCCGGGACAAAACTCGGGCTAGCCGCCGGGCGGTACTCCGGGAACAGCCGCCCGGATCTGTAGCGGACCCCACAAGCATTACAAAGTGTTTTTGGGCCCATTGGGCCTTCTCTCCATTGTGGGGTTTTAGTTATCTCACAATGGCTGCATTTCTTGTTTTCATTGTTACCATTTTGTTGTTGACCAAAATTTCTTCTCTTTTTCTTTTCCTTGACTTTTTGAAGAGGGATTGGTAGAGTTGACTTTGACCATGGACTCTCGGTCAGGGTTGACCGTGCCCGTTTTGTTCGAGTCCTGACCGGAATTGCGATTTCGGTTCCGAATGAGATTGTTTTGCCTGCTGAGCTGGACATTCTGCGTTCAAGGACTGAATCAGGGCTAGGTGCTTCAAAGGATCTTGGTTTTGATTTTTTTAAGGTTAAATCTTCTTCTTCATATAGAATTGGCGTGTCTTTCTGAGGATAAAATCGTCAACAAACATATAAATATAATTAAATACTAAAAAGTAAAAAAGAAAACCTCAAAAATAATCAAGGGTATGAAACTACTTACAAGAAGACAACTTTCCGGGAAGGAATCTGCAGAACCACCGGTACCACCACCACCACCACCGCCATTGACATTGCTGACTGGCGGCGGGAGAATCTCTCTGAAAACCTCCGACGGGATAGGACCAAGTTTCTCCGCCCAATCTTCAACAAGAGCGTCTCCTTCCAAAGTCTCAACAGGGTAATCCAAGATATTAAGAATGTCACCCAAATAATCATCATCATCATACACCTGAGGATAATAATCAGCATCCGTATACATTCTACTCTTATCCTGGATGATAAACGGATTATAATTGAAAACAGAGATGATCAGAAGAGCCAAAAGTTGATGCATCTTTTTCTTTTTCTTATTCTTATTCGTATTCGTATGATTTTACTTCAAGTATGTGACTTGTGGAAGGAGAAACAAATCGTTTATATAACTGATGCACAATGCACAATATTATCAAGAAAAAGTCAAAAAAAAAAAAACAAGGATAATTCATGTTTGACTTCGTGTATATCTCGTGAGAAAAGGTAAGCTATCAATTGGTAATTATACGTCATCGAGATCGAGATTAATAATAGATAAATTCACATATGGAATGAAGTGTTTCTTTGATTTAGGGCTCGTGTTAAAAAATCAAAAGACTTTTTTCGTAATACAATCCGATTTTTCAGTAGAGATAAAAGTTAAGCATCTTGGGATTTAACCAAAAACCCTAAAATTAAGCAAACATAAAACCAAACCAAGATTATAATATCCGAAAATCAAGCATGCATTGTCTGAAAGTTATCTCTTCGACAAATATAATCAGTATCTATTCATGGAAACTTCGGATAAAATAATACCCCCAAAAAAATTAAAAGTAAAAAGGAAAGTTTCGTATTCGTGAAGTAAAACGGCGTCGTGATAAGGGTTTTAGGGTCACACACGGGTTTTGATTTTGCCCTAGAGTAGTAACACGATAGCGACTCAGAAAATGGGAAAGGGGCGTTGCAGAAACAAAAAGGTGGAAACGGTAACTTTCGTCAGCCGTTTTGATTAATGGAACAAGGGACACAGTTGGAGAATCGAGAAACGAAACCTTAAGTTCGCGAAGAAATTCGAGAGAAATGTAGCGAAAATGGAGAAATGAAAACTCACCTGTGCGTCCATGGCGGAACTACGTTTTTACAGCATAGCAGTTTGGAAGAATTTACACCGAGAGAGAGAGAGAGAGAGAGAGAGAGAGAGATGGTTGGTCTGAGTGTGTAAATATGAAGGAGATGGTGGAAGTAAATTTTTAGGTTTAGGGAAAGGGGGGAAATGGAGGTGGTGGAGTAAATAGGGGTGATGGTGCATGGGATCACATGGTGGTCCACACTGTACCCGATTAAATTTTGTACTCTCCCAAAACATTAAAAGCAACATTTTTGTTTTTTCATTGTGTGTGAGAGTTGTGCACTATAAAAAATATATATATAAAATAAAAGTAAAAATAAAAATAAATTCAAATAAGATAATACTTAAAAGGATAATAAATTTTTATTTTTGTTTGTACTTAGACCATACCAATGTATTATATGAATTTATATAAAAGAAAATATAAATATGAAATTCTAAACATTTGAAAAGTTTGAATTTATAAAAAATATGAAAAATAATGAATTATTAAAATTAATGTTTTTTTTTCTTTTTTAAGTTAAAAAAATAGTTTAGATAAATAATCAAATGAAACTAATGAGACTTTAATTTAATAATTTTGAAATTTTGGTTTAAAATTATTATTTAAATTCTTTAATTAGAAGAAAGTTTTGCATAGACGTAGCGGGTAAACGAGCAACAAGCTGTGTCGCAACCCCTTTTTGGATGTCAAAACTAATTCTTTTAAAAACAACATCTATAGATCTTGGAGTCATAACATTACTATGCATGACTCGTTGGACTCTATTGAGTAGCTCCACAACTTCTGGCACAAGGAAACCGAAAGTATCAAATGCAAAGGGTATAAACGTGTGTTGATTTTGAAATTAGAAGGAAAATCTATTAATTAAATTGATATACATTTATTATTATATTTAAATATATGTAGAATTTAATCAAATGAAAAAACCATAAAATAACATGAAAATACTAAGAAAAAGCCTTGTGGTATAATGTATTAGAAGATGACAAATGACAGAACCATTTTTATTTATTAGGGAGAATTTAGTTATTGATTTTTTTCGTGTTTGATTTACCTATGAATTATTTAAAAACGTTCATATTTAACCGTTATGACTGATTGTGCCGATCATAACGGTAAAATATGAATATTTTTAAATAATTCATGGGTAAATCAAACATGAAAAAAGTTCAGTGGCTAACTGTGAACAAAATTGAAAGTTCGTTACCTTTTCTAGTCATTATCCATTTTTTAAAAAGTCAATAAATATAAAAATATGTATTCAAATGTACAAATACTTTTAAAAATAGTTTCAAAACTTTCAAAAGGAGTTTTTGAAAAGGTACATCCCTTTTACTTTAAAAAAAATACTTGACTTATTCACGCAAAATAACTATAAAATATAAACTAATCCAAACATTAAAAAAAAGCTTATAAACTTATAGCTAATCCAAATACTTTTTTAAATTTTTATCACCATATAAGCTAATAAACATTTTTTATCAGAAAATGCTTATTGAGTTAAATAAGCAATCACAAACAACCCTTAATAAATTGAAATTTTCATGGTATTTTAAATGTCATTTACTAAAAACAACATGAATAAATCTTGTTGTATCCATATTTATAAATAAATTTGTGTCTTATTATCCTTTAATGGAATTTTGTCACCATTGAAATTGGATGCTCAAACTGTAATATCTTTTAACTTTCTTTTTAGAAACATGGAACACGAAAAACAGATATAACTTCTGTTATCATATAAGTTGTGAAACTGAGAGTTAAAAAGGCAACAGACATGCTTGGCATAAACTAGAAGTTTCATTATTCATACAAAAAATCAAATGACTAGAAACAAGATGTTAAAAAACTAGATGAGATGCGCGACAAAAACGCTAATGACAAAGAGATAGAACAGGGGAAACGAGAGCTCGTGGATATGTTTATGTAACATAATAAGGAATGATAACTTGAAAGGGTAATGAACTTTCAACTTTGTTCACATTTAGTCACTAAACTTTTTCGTGCTTGATTTACCCTTAAATTACTTGAAAGTTTTCACATTTTATCCTTATGACCGGTTGTAGACGGTAATAAGGGTAAAATATGAACAATTTCAAATAATTCATGGGTAATCAAGCACAAAAAAAGTTTTAGCTACTAATGCAACGTCACAAAAATTAAGACTAAAATTTTTTATTTTTAAATTAACAAAACCATTATCCAAAACAACATCATAGAAACCATGGTGAAACAAAGTGTATCAATAACATCCACGTACACCAGAGTAATATAAAAAATGCAGAACGATGTGGTATGTGCACTGCAATCATCCCGGGCTCTTCCCCTTTGAACCAGAAGTACATGAAACATAAACTAAAAACCGTAAGCACAAAGCTTAGTGAGTTCCCCAAAATACCATGATACGTGTGGAATGTACTAGTTTTAATCCTACTAACTTAGACACAAAGACAAACACACGAAAGGCAGTGTACCTATCGATTAGCAGTTTAGTTCAGGTAAGTAGGGTATCGAACACAGGGAACGGTAAACAATTAAAATAAATACTAGTATTACCTAAATAAAACAAGTAATAAAAAGGGTTTTCTCTAGTTTTGCAAGACTAGAAACTTAAGAAATTACTAAACACTTAAACAAAAGACAATTAACAACTAAGGAGAAACAAAAAACAACTAGATTCAATCACCTTAAAGAGACTTTCGTTTAGATTTCAATCCCCTTATTCCTATGGTTGATTTCGTGGCAAGTGCAATGGATTAATATGTCATTGGTTACCGATTTCTAATGTGATTAGGTTCATGTTCACTATTACTAATCCTTTAACAAATAAGTTAATTCAAATAGTGGCCAGTTGATTAAACTAACAGATTTCCTAGTGTTCAGTTTGAATCAAACAAGACTTGTAATATTGGTTAACTAAACTTGTTATTGTAAGTCCCTAATCTACTTGTGTATCAATCAGATCCGTTTGATGGTGCGGAATCCCAATCAAACGGATGATGTCAGATCAAATAGAAGAGAAGGAGAAGAAGAAGATGATGAATCTTGTATGTATTGATATGAATGAAGATCCGGATACAAGATTCACACACACTAACACACACACTTAAGCTCCTCTAGTGTTCATCCATCATCAATCTCTTCCTCACACCCCTCACCCCTATATATACTCGACTGGGCCGCAAAATGGGTTTACGGCCGTAAACGTGTTTACGGCCGTAAACTCTGTTTACGGTCGTAAACGTGTTTACGGCCGTAAACTCAGTTTACGGTCGTAAACTCACAACACATTACAGAAAAATACAATTTCTTAGAAAAGCAAAGTATAAACCATATTTTTGACCCAACAGTTAATTCAATTAACTCATATGTGGTTGGTCATCACACATGCTCACACATTAACTTACTTATTTTCTAGTTAACCCTAGGTTCATGTTCACTAATACTAGGCATACAAATATGATTCAAGCAATTAAGAAGATGTTCATACAACTCAATAAACTTGATTATTAACGAAAAATAATTATCATTAACACATAAGGATATTTTAACAATCTTAACAAGATAAATAACCAAATCAAATTAATCCAAGCCACTCAATTAAACCATATTCATAAGATCATCTACATGTAAACAGAAGTATAGATTTTAGCCCACAACTTCAGCAAAAACAATCATAAACTCAAAATCTAATGTTATCAACATGATTCAAAACAAATATTTAGAGAAAAGTGATACTTTAATGCCTTTGATCTCTTCAAACTTGAACTTCTAGTTGAAAATCAAAAACCAGAGCTTCTAAGAACCTCTCTGGCCTCCAAAAGTCGCTCAAAGCCTCCAACATTAGTTGGGGTTTCGAATGATAACGCGCTCTCTCTCTCTCTCTCTTTATATATATATATATATATATATATATATATATATATATATATATATATATATATATATATATTCTGAAAAATAGAGCAAATCGACGAGTTTTATGGAAAAACTTGTCGAGTTTCTCACTTAAATCGTGTGTACGACAAGTCACTAGTTTATCGGGAATTTTCATCTTAACTCGTCGAGTTGTGTTTGGAATCAACATTTTCTCAAAACACAAAAGTTGTCCGAAATTGTGTCTAGTTTTCAGAACATTTTGAATATGGTCAATCGGATTTACTGTTCATGAGATATGGCCAAAACACTAACGATGGGTCAAGTTGTCCAGCAACATCCTTCTTTCTTCAAAATCCAAGATCCAAGCTTCCAATCGCCAATTCCGCTTCCTTTTCCTTCCGAGCATGTCTTTGTTGCTGAAATGAGATTTTAAACTAATCAAGCATCTTTTGTTCATTAAATGAGATAAAATCAACATAAAGTATTAAGATAATACATGAATTTTATAACTAAATATGCCCATATCATACCACATACAATACATATCAACATATAATGGGTCCCGCCCGATATCGGGCCTCGCTCGGACTAGATATGTCGGTCATCAGGCCCCGTCCGATATACATACAACATATAAACACATGCATACAAATCACAAAGATAAATAACATGAAATACAATCATCAGACCCCGCCCGGTAAACATATAAACACATAACACATGCAAGAGTCACGCAAACAACTAGCATCCTAACATAACAACCATGGGTCGGCATTGGTGCCTTCGACCCGCTAAACACAGTGAGGAAACTCACCTCAAGCTGCAGAATTCTTCGTGGTCATTTAATAGTCTAATCTCATCCTATTGTTAAATTTAAGATCGGTCGAGAATTAGCTGGTGGAGTCTAAATAAAAGTTGTAGATCTTGTTTTTAACTACGTGTGGAAAAAAAGAACGTCGGAAACGGAGCTCGTATGCGAAAGTTACGGGGTTTAGAAGTCGGCAGGGTGCTGCTGCAAAAAGGGTGACGTGGCTGATTATGGGCCAAGGCTTTCTCTCCAAGGAAAGCCACCAGAAGGTGACATGTGGCATGGACTCGACGAGTAGGAGGACCTACTCGACGAGTAGAGCTGTTTTCCAGCCTATAAATAGAGGTGTCGGGTTCCCTCATTCTTCACACCATTCCAACCTCTTCTCTCTCTCTCTCTAGAACCTCTCTCTAGCCCCTAAACCCCCCAAAAAGCCTAGGGAACCTCCCTAGCACCCGAAGGAAGCCCCGAGGCTCCCGGAGTCCCGAGAAAGGAGCCTTTCGGATCGGGA